ACATCATAAAAGAGAGTATTGATTTTCGAATATGGTTAGTTTTGGTACTTATTGATCGTATAGTTCTACGATTGATCTAGCACGTATATCACTTTATGTAAATAAGATGAAAGGTGTCGCTATCAACTATAAAGATATAGTTAGTGGAATTACTGTTGTCTAGTTTCTTAGTTTTCTTTGTCACAATAGATAAAAAGAATTTAAAGCTTGAATCTTTGCACTGAAATAAAATCCGTGTGATAGAATAAGTCTAAACCGTTATGTGAATAAATATCGGATTCATAATTCAAGTGAGGCTGAGCCTCTACACGCCAAAAACAGGTAAGGCTCAAGCCTCACGAGCCTCTACGTTCCGCCGTCTATGGATGCAGAAAATGTGAAATTTCTTAACAATGGTAAAACTCCGGATTACGAGCATAGGTAACTTTTTTCTTATCAATCTAATGATTCGAATGCAGAAAAAAAAGTCATTTTCGCTCTTACAGGAAAAAAGGAGATAGGTTTACAATGTAAGACTGTCGACAGTATACGAGGTAAGTCTTGATAAGTCAAGCAAAAGACACAAGATTGACAAAATCTCATCAAACTCATCTAAATACCATAGTTTTATGTGCTCGATTTATATATTATAGTTTTGTTGAGAAAAATCCAATAAAAGATGCATAAACTCTTAGACTAATGGGGAAAATCCAGCTTTTTTTTGGGGTTTTCTGAAATCTTTTGTATTTTGAGCTTTTCTCGGCTCAGATGAGGTCTGGCAATTTGAAAGATATATATTCTGAATCAGCGCAAAAAGCTCTATCAACTGATATATAATTCATTGAGTTTTGTTTTCTGTTCGACTTTTGCATTACGTGCACCTTACAAACATTTACTTTTATATTGTGCAGCTTGTACCATATCCATCTTTTTTATTAATCGTACATATCATCTGCACTAAATCCATGATACAAGGAAACAAAGCCAAGAAGGAAAAACAAAGTGAATCACGCTATAACGTATTTTTCTTTGTATATTTACCTTTCCAGTTAATTCGATGTTAGTAAATTTGATGTATTGATCTTTAAATCTATTAACGGAGCTGATTTATCACTAATTGGCTATTTTATCTATTTTACTGACCAAATGGTTTATTCCGCCAAAAAATTGTAACATTTTTTTATTACAATTTTTTTTCTTTTGTTTTCTCAGGCACCACTTAAAATGCTTATGTTAACTATTATTGTATCATTCTTTAAATCATTTTTTATTATTCTTGGTATGTTTTTACTTATGTTAATATATGCCTTGGCTGGTGTTATACTTTTTGGTTGTGTTAAATTTGGTCTTGAACTTGGACGACATGTTAATTTTAAAACAGTACCTAATGCAATTCTTTTATTAATGAGAATTGTTACTGGTGAAGATTGGAATAAAATAATGCATGATTGTATGGTTGTACCACCACGATGTACATGTGGTGGTTCCTATTGGGAAAGTGATTGTGGAAATTCAATAGCCTCTATACTTTATTTTTGTTCGTTTTATATTATAATTACTTATATCGTATTAAATCTTCTTGTTGCTATTATTATGGACAATTTTTCCTTATTCTATTCAAGTGAAGAAGATGCATTACTTAGTTATACGGATATTCGTCATTTTCAAACGGTTTGGAATATGATTGATACAGGACGTAAAGGTATTATACCAGTTCGACGTGTAAAATTTTTATTAAGATCACTTCGAGTAAATATAAATTAAATATTTAATTTAATAAGATAAATCTATGAATATACACACTGAGTACCAAAATTGATCAACAAGCAGAATGAACTTTTTTGGTGAGCTCATATTTCGACAACTATATGAGCTGTAATGATTCGATTTTATCCATATTGTAGCCCATAACATCTAGTATATGCGCACAAAATCTCAAGTCAAACTGTTCTTCTCTTCTACGATTATTGAATAGACAACCAAAGGGTGTGGTTCTTGAGCGTTCCAAAATTGATCGACAATTTGTCTCTATGATTATCTTCGGAATTATTTTAACTTAAAATTTTCT